ACTTGGAACCACTTAAATCCTACTTTTTATCCTTAATAAAATCACTTTTGCTTATTAATTAACCGAGAATAAGCAATTAATATCTGGGGGAGCAAACAGCTATCAGTGTAATAGAGGGCGGACAATTTGAGTAAGAGTAAAACGGATTTATTTGGGGTTTGGATCCCATTGGGAGCTGGGTGTCTGGGTGCTAGAGACAGGAGCACTTGCTAAGCTGTTTTCAGTTAAGTCTGCAGGTTTGGGGGTGTGGGTCAGACTCAGGGCCTGTGTCACAGCAGATTAGAGTATCTGGCTCAAGACAGGGTTCTGGAGTCCCAAGCAGGCAGGGAAAACAGGCTCAGAGTTAGTTACAGAACACAGGTGACAGTCCCAAGGGGGTCTTTGTGATCAAACCCATCACACCGTGAGTTTCAAATGAAGCTCAAAGAAGCAGAAGCAGCCAGGGAGGAAGCTGCTCACAAAAGAGCCATGGAGTTAAGACAAAGAGCTTGAAGCCCAGCAAGGTGCTCAGGAGGAGAAGGAAAGAGAGAGGCAGCTAGCCCTGGAATTAAAAGACAGAGAAATACAGGCCCAGATTGAGACCCAGAAGCATGAACTGGCTGTAATGGAGTGAAAGAGACAAAACGCTTCAGCAGCTGGCTCCACTTCCCCAAAAATCCACAAATGGGAGCGGTTATGTCCACAGTATGATGAATCCAGTGATATTGCTGAATATTTCATCACCTTTGAGAGACTGTGCACTCTCCATGCGATTCCTGGAGATCAAAAAATGACTACTTTAGTTGCAAAATTGACTGAGAGCTCTGGACATATTCAATAAGATGCCTATTGATGCTTCAAACTATGATAAATGTAAGGAACTGGTTTTAAAACAGTTTCAGACTTCACCTGAAACCTACAGGGTTAAATTCAGGAGTCTTAAGAGGGGATCTGGATTGACTAATGTGGCTTATGTAAATGAAATGAGAGATTTGTTGGACAAGTGGGTGAGGGGAAAAGGCATTACAAGCCTGGAAGAAATGTGTGATTTAGTTACTCAGGAACAGTTCCTGAATATGTGGAGTGATGATGTAAAACAGTATTTGTGGGACAAAAAGGTGAATGCAGTGGGGGAATTAGCTGGGTTTGCAGACTCTTACGAGCAGTCACAAGCTGCAATTAAACATAAACCAATGGAAGAAGGATACAGGGTTGGTGGAAAGCAGAATCACCGTTTTACCCCTGGGGAAAAAGGAGGCTGGGCATTCATCTCCCCATACCCCTCTTACTTGTCCCAAGTCTCCTGTACAAGCAGAGGAGCCCCAAAAGTGCTATCATTGTAAGTCCACTGAGCACCTGAGGAATAAATGTCCTTGGCTGAGCGGAAACAGGCAGCAGGTAACATAGAATCATAGAATATCAGGGTTGGAAGGGACCTCAGGAGGTCATCTAGTCTAACTCTCTGCCTTGGACACCAGGTGGGTCAAGGAACTATCAATCCCCTACAGGCTAAGGTAAATGCTATCCAAAATTGGCCTGTCCCTCAGTCAAAGAAGCAGGTCCAATCCTTCTTGGGCTTGGCCAGGTATTACAGATGATTTGTACCACACTACAGCCAAACTGCCACCCCACTGACCAACCTAACCAGGAAAAAACAGCCAAATGCAGTTCAGTGGACTGAGAAGTGTCAGAAAGCCTTTAAGCAGCCCTTACGTCTGACCCTGGACTAAGGGCCCCAGACTTTGACCAACCTTTTGTTGTAACCACAGATGTGTCGAGCATGGTGTAGGAACTGTTTTAATGCAGGAAGGACCAGATCAACAATTCCATCCTGTCGTGTTTCTCAGCAATAAACTTTCTGAGAGGGAAAGCCACTCATCAGTCTCAGAAAAAGAATGTTACGCCATTGTGTATGCTCTGGAGAAGCTACGCCCATACATTTGGGGATGGCGTTTCCACCTGCAGACTGACCGTGCTGCACTGAAGTGGCCTCACACAGTCAAGGAGATGAACAAAAAACCTTCAGTGGAGTTTAGCTCTTCAAGACTTTGATTTTGAAATACAACACATTTCAGGAGCCTCTAACAAAGTGGTTGATGCACTCTCCGGGGAAGGTTTCCCAGAATCATCTGAGTAAAAATGTCCCTGTATTCTGTCACTGTAGTCCTTAAAATGTGGAAAATACTGTTTAGTTCTTCATGTAATTAGTAGTAAAATTAGAGGTGCATATATCTTATTAAGTCTGTTTTCCTAAGCCTCCAGAAAGAAATCCCAGCCCTGTGGACCTGACCTGAACCAGGCTGTCCAACACCGTCTGTGATTTGGGGGTAGCGTGATAAATGGGGGGGGGGGTGATAAATGAAGTGGTGGGGTAGCTCTCTTTTATGGACATCCAGTCATCCAGTAGCTACAAAACCCCTCTTAGTAACTGTTCTCTAATTGTTCTGCTCTTCCTGTAAAGGGTTAAAGTCTCACTGCTATGCATAGGTAAAAGGAAGGTACCTGGCCAAAAGAGCCTATAGGGAGGCTAGAACTTTCTAAAATTGAAAAAAGACTCCCCTTTTGTCTGTCTGTTGTTCTCCCAGGGAGAGGCGGACAGGGCATAGCTATGCTATAAGAAGCTTGGGCCAGATATGAAAAATCATCAGTATCATACCTAGAAACTAATCATTTAAAACCCCAGATATGTAAGTAGATCAGGAAATGTCTAGGAAGACGTCATTAGGTTTATCCCTTTTATTTTGTTAGGGCTTGTGGATTCCTCTGTGCTAACCCCAGGTGCTTTTGTTTTGCTTGTAACCTTTAAGCTGGACCTCAAGAAAGCTATTCTTGGTGCTTAATTCTTGTAGTTGCTCTTCTAAACTCTAGCAATAGCCTGAGTTCCCAGATGTATTTTCTTTCTTTTTTTATTAATAAATTTTACCTTTTTTAAGAACAGAATTGGATTTTTGTCTGAAGAGGTTTGTGCACATTGTTTAATTAGCTGGTGCCAATAGCTGATTTCCCTTTCCCCCCCCCTTCTTTCTGTGTGTGCGTGTGTGTGAAAGGTCTTGAGGGTACCTCACAGGAAGGAATTCCAAAGTGCACCTTCCTGGGCTCTCAAAGGGATTCTGCACTTGGCAGCATCTACCAATCCAAGGTCAGAGAAAAGCTGTAACCTTGGGAGTTTAATACAAGCCTGGAGTGGCCAGTATTAATTTTTAGAATCCTTGCGGGCCCCACTTCCCCACTCAAAGTGCCAGAGTGGGGAATTAGCCTTGACAGGCCTAAGCCCCGCTCTTTAAAGGGGCTTAGGGAGGCACAATCCCAGCTGAGGACCTTCTGCTAGACTCAGGCATCAGCGGTCAGCGCAGCCTTTCCTGGCACAAATGCAGCAGGAGGAGCTGGGTATCCATTGCTGAGTTCTGGCCTGGTCTGTCTGGCAGGGCAGCAGGCCTGCTGTCCCACTGGCTGGTGGGGGGCTCTGAAGGGAGAATGCAGTCAGATTGGGCACAAGTCCCCAAAGTGCCACCTACCTATTTCTCAGCATGAGCAGGGACTTCATTAGCAATCCCCCAGCAGATCCTTCGATCAGATTCTCACTAAGTAGATTCCCCTGTGGCTCTGGTCTCTTCCACCCCCCTCACTCGAGTCAAGTTCAATCCTGCCCCATTTTCCCGATCTTGTCCTTCCCATCTAATTTACTCCCGGCCGCCAGACACTCAGCACAGTGAGAGCCAGCAGCGACTCTTGTGACAGTCTGTCCCCCTATGTTCACCCTTTTTAAAGACTATGATAAATTTTGTAAAAAGTATGCCTTGTGAGGTATCCTTTGAAAACTCATACTTTGATCATTATTGTCTTGGAAAAGTGTGTGTCACAACATTGTATGTAAGTTATGAGATTCTACTGTATGATGTTTTTGAGACATTCCAAGTCTGGAAAAACCACCACAAACCAGTTCCTCAGAGACAAATGGCAAACTGATGCCTCAGCCAGATGTCAACAGAATCAAATGGACCATCACCTGGCTAAGTGGCCATTCTTTAGCAAGAAAGAGGATGTGGGTAAAAATTTACATTTTGACAAAGGAACAGCTTGAGATTCCTGCCCAAACAAACTTTGTCGCCTGAACCTCAGCTGGAGGTGGTTTTCAAAAAAACAAAAAAACAAAAAAGAGAGAGCTATAAGAAAGGGGAATGGACACCTCAAAATACTTCTTCCTTTCTCTCTGCTCATGGCATCAGCAACAGTTGAAAGACAGGGAAAGTAACACTGAACTGGAGGAGGGATCCTCTGAGGTCCTATTGTAATTTTTGCACAAAAAATACGCTAGCGTCTTCACTGGAAATCCAGATTTTGCACTGAAACTCAGCAGTTTCAGCACAAAAATAAAACCACCCCAACGAGGTTTTTTTTGCGCTGATTCTTTTGCGCTGATGTGCCAGTGAAGACTCTTGATTACTTTTACTGGTCTAATTGCCCTGTCCCACAATGCAGAGTGGGAGTGGCTGATCTTTGAAACTCAGCAGTCCTGCCTGCACGTAGGCGCCCCTCCCCTTTAGCTCCGTTCTGACAGCTGGTGCTGTCACTGCTCTGGAACACAAAACAAATCATTATTGTGGAATGCTCCTACTGCCTCCCACAATGCAAACAGAGGCAGGCAGACAGAATGTGTTGTGCAGAGTCAGGGAGGGAGGCGGGGGGCAGGGGTTGGGGTCTCTTCCTCCCCTTCCTCTCCCTCCTCCCCCCCCCCCGCCCGTTAGGACTGGTTGCTTCCAGCGACTGTCACACACACACACACACACACACACACACCCCTGCCACAATAATGATTTGCTTTGTATCCCAGTGCAGTGCATAGTGGGATAGCTACCACAGTGCACTCCTCTCATCTGCAATGCAAGTGCTGAATATGTAAACACACTCTGACACCTGTGGAAAACAATGTGAACACAAACCAGTGCTTTTCTTTTAGTGCTTTTCTATCTCCGACAAAACTGTCAGCAAAAAAACCTCTGCAAGTGTAGACATAGCCTTACCTTCTGTCAGTTTGCCTGCTTGTTCTGCAGCTCCTCCTGGCAGGATTTTGGAGAACACACTCTCTCCATCCACCCCGGGCTGTCCAGCTGCTGCCCCAGTGGGTGGGGGAGCCCCTGCTGGCTTCTGACCCACTTTAATACCTGCCAGGGAATATATAGAGCCATAGTAAGGAGGAGAACCCAGCCACAGCCCCTCCCCGGCACGGGCAGCACCTATGTGACTTATTAGAGCTGGGGCCAGAGCCCAGGTGCTTTCAGCTGCCAGGAGGCTGTGGCATGACTGGTACAGATTAGGGCAGGCTGCTTTTGGGCACCTTCTGCACATCTGCTTCCCTGACTGGGGGATGCCAACCCACCCTGGGTCAGTGCTGACCCCTCTCCTGCCCTGAGGACCATGACCGCCCAGTGCTAGGCTGGGGATCTGGCCCCATTCCATAGTCTGCCAAGGGCGGGATGCATTTATTTCCAGGCCCTGAGTGATCTCAGCCTCTGAATGCTGTGACGTGCTAGGGAGGGATAAAAGTGGATCTTCTCTTTGGAGAGATCAGGCAGTCATGGCCCTAGCGGAAACAGCTGGTGCCTGGTTGCTCCTTCAGTGCCAAGGGCACTGCCAGCCAGCATGGGCGCAGGTGGCCTGGCAGGGCCCAATGTGTCGATCTGGCTCACTGACCTGCTGCAGTCGTTCCCAGTGGCTGTGCTTGGGGCGCTCTCCTGTGCGGTGGTGGCACTTTTGTGGTGGGTTTGGGCATATCCACCTGATCCGCTTTTGGCTGTAACATGAAATGCATATTTCAGAATTCCCCTGGTCTCTCTGTGCGTGGGTGGGCAGGTGAATAGGGCATGGGGCTGGCAGAACAGCAGTCCCAGGGGCATGGGGCACATCAGTAAGCGCTGGCAGAAAATCCAGCCCTCGCACCAGGCCAAAGACTATATCAACCCAGGATCACGCATGTTGCCTCCTGGGAAACCCAGCCAGACACCCCCCAGCTCCCAGCCACACACATGCACGTCGCCTCCCACACACAAAGGCCTGCCTTGCAAGCCAGTCTGGCTCCCCAAGGCAATCACCCAGCCTCTATCATCCCTCGCAATTCACAGCTGACGCCACCCAGTCAGCTGGTCCCTCCTCTGCACTTCCTCAGAGGGCAGGTGCAGGGCCTGGCTCAGGAGGTAGCTGGTCGGGGGGGAGGCCTATGCACCAGTCTGGGGACATGGATTGTCTGCCCAGCTCCCCAATCTCATCTCCTCCCCCACCCCCTACCCCAAATCCTTGCTTCCTTCATATGGCCCCTCCCATCTGTTCTCTCTCCTGATCCCCACATTCCCCACTCCCTCCTCCCTGGCTCCCGCCAGCCCTCCGATCTTCCCCAGTCTCATCTCTCCCTTATGCCCTCCATGCTCAGCTGGCGGCGCTGGAGAATGGAAATAGCTGGCAGACCTGAGCAGTGCCATTGGCTCACTGTGCTGTAAGGCAGTTGGCTTGTCCTGGCCAAGTGGGGGGAGGGGAGGCGGTAGCTCTGGGTGTGTTTGACTGGACAACTGGAGCCTGAAGTCAGGCAATAAAGGGTGAAATGGAGGGATTTTATTCCTGCTCTTAGTGCTGATCTTGGCATAGCCTCAGCTCTGCCGCTTCCCTGAGATCTCCATAATTTAACTCCTTTCCTGCTGTGGCACATCCTAGTTGTCTCTTGTGCGACAGAACACATCAGCTACCTAGCAGTCGGGGGCCCTCCTCACTGCACGATGTACTCCTCTGTGCTGCTGTGGACTGGGGGAGCTCATGACTGTGCACGGCCTGTGCCTTGGGATGCACCAGGGGCTCCCAGCCTCTGCCTCCTTCCTGTGCAACCAGATCCTCCCAGAGTGCCATCCCCAGTGCTGCAGGACAAACCATCAGCCAGGCACCTGCTGTGTAAGTGATGAACCAATGGCCAAAGAGCATGTGCACTTACTAGCCCTACTTGGTGACTGCCTGGCTGTGCAGGGAGGGTTGACTGGGGCTTCCCGACATGCTGGGATTGGATGGGTTGTTGTTGCGGTGGCCGAGAAGAGGGTAGTCCTTGAGCCCCTGGCTGCTGCTGCAGCCTAGCTTGCTGCTGCTGCTGCTCCTTCTGTGGCTGAGGAGGTTGCTGCAAAGGGCCTGCTTGTTGCTGTGGAGACTGCCTGGCTGATGGCTGCTGCTGCCTGGATGGCGGCTGCTGTTGCCCGGATTGCTGCTGTCTTGTTTGCGGCTGCTGCTGAGAATGGTGCAGCAAGGGCTCTCCTTTCGGCTGTTGGGGCAGTGGCCCTTGCTCCGCTTGCCGTTGGGATTTCTGGGACTCTGAGGTATGGTGGTAGCTGGACGGCTGCTGGGACTGCTGCGAGTACTCTGCTGAGCTGGAGGGGAAAGCTGTCTGGGCTCTCATGTCTGACTGCTGAGCCTTCTTCTGGGCAGATGGCTGCATGTGTGTGCGGGCTTCATGACGGCCCTGGTCTCGGGCATGCTGCTTGGATGTCCTCCTGGCCTGTTCATCACTCGGGTGGCGGGAAGAGGCTGAGTGCCTTCCATGCTCTCCATGGTGCCGGTGGTCTTTGGAAGAAGAGTGACGTGCCTGAGAATAGTCATCGTGCTGCCACAGGTCTTCATTTGGAGGCTCATCGTAATCATGAAAGGAGTGTTTGATGGGAGGTCTCTTCTGGGAGGAGAAGTGGCCAGTGTAGTGCCTTACCCGCTCTGAGCGAGCTTCCCTGGGCTTATCAAACCAGTCTGTCTCCTCCTGACCCAAATGATAGGCTTCAGAAACCAAACACAGAGCACAGTCAGTCTCTCGGTCCCGAGGTGGGAGCATACCCCACACGGAAGCCATGCAATGAGATAAAAGAATGCAAGCAGCTTATCACATGCATCTGGGACACATCATAGACCCCTCCCCAACAAATACAACACATCGTTACATGCAGCAGGCACTGAACACTAACATGCTACCACCAGACACCCGGAACATGCAGTGGAACAAGGGAGAAAGGCACATGGTACGCAAACGCAGGCTGTGAGACTGTCTTTGCAAATGACCCGTAGGAGCATGCTCTGGGGTATGTCACCACAGGTAACTGTTACCTTCACTGTCTGAAACAACACAATGTGAATCATCCATGATGTAACCTTCTTCATGCTTGTAAGAGTGGTTCCTTGGCACATCTTTGATATGTTCTTGCACATCAGGCAACGAGTGGCTGGAGCAGAACTGGGAACAGCTGTCCCCAGAGGACTGAGGGAGAGGTCCACCTGAGGAGCGGGACACACCCACAGACTTTCCTAAAGGGCTGATGGGACTTTCCTCTTCCGATGTCTGTGTACGAATCGAAGGCCGCCCACGACTCTGACTCATACTAAGGGAAGATGGTTTGGAGCTTCCTTTCTGAGGCTTCTCCATGCACTCTCTCTCATAGGACTTGCTTCTGCTGCTGGCATCGCGGCTTGATGTTTTTTCTGTCCCATAACCAGACGATCTAGATCTGCTTCCAGTGCTGTATGCTCGATCGTCCTCTTCCGTCATATCCCTGCTGGACATGCCATAGTATTTCTGCTGCTCATACACATTCTTCTTGAGGCCGTAGGTGATCTCGTCCTGAAGCTTCTTTGCCCTGGATGCCACATTGCTGCTGCTGATAGACGTAGTCACTGTGTAGGAGGCCAGGTCCGACTCCACATCTTTGGCTTCTTCTATGGGGGAGAATTTGGAGATCTTTTGCTCCATGCCTTGTTTCCTGTGTTTACTGCGCTTGGACGAGATGACAGCAGGAGCCAGGTTTTTGGAGGAATGCTTCTGCATCCCCAGTCCAGAACCATGCTTGTCTGAGCGTGTGGAGTGCCGATAATCGTCCCCGTAATAGGAGCAGGGGCCGCTGGAGCTGCCTGACATCCTGCCATTGCTCTCCATGCCTCTGTGGTAGCTGTTCTTCCCCCGATGGTCAGCACCATGCTGATCATACATATCCTCCTCTGACTCCTCCTCTGCTTTGGAGTAGCAGCAAGTTCTGCTGGAGCCTTCCGTCTCCACCAGCTCACTCTTCTCTTTGATCTGGCGGCTAGTGCTGCTCTGCACCTGCATCTCCCCCTTGTGGTTGTCTGCCGCAGTGCTCTCTTTGGTCAGCTCACTGATGTCCTCGATCATCACATAGTTGCGGGGAATGTTCTGCTCCAGGTTTGCGTACAGAGAATCTGAAGAGTAACTGGCTGAGGGGCTTTGCACGGCATTGCTCTGGTCAGCTGGACTGGCCTCTGGGGTCTTGTGCTGGGAATAGCTGCCGGTCACTGTCGTGGGGCTGTAAGTAACGTCTGGGGCTGCTGAGGAGATCACCACGGTGGGATTTCCAATCACTTCATAATTGGTGGGGATCTTTTGTTCCAAGTCTGCTAGTGATGTCTGCCGTGGCTTCTGATGCATGGCGTGCACATCTGCCTGTGTTTGGAAGAGGACACTCTGTGCCGGCTGTGAGGGCGGCTGGTTGGGATATGTGGTCTGAGCTTGGTAGTGATGAGGAGGCCGAAAGCCTTGATGGCTCTGCAAGCCCAGCTGGGGCTGGTAACCAGTGCTGGGAGGGAAGCTGTGTGTCTGATATGTACCTTGGGAGGGGAAGGCGGGGAGCTGACCAGCCTGGAAGCCATTCTGAGATGTGCCACTGCTGACCACAGGGTAATGGGGGGGCTGGAGCCGTGTTTGCTGGAAGGCGGCAGGGCCTGGTGGGGCTGCTGGGTATGGGTAGGGGGCGTAGGAGGAGGCTGATGTGTACTGCGTGCTGGAGAAGTCAGCATAATGGTTAGTGGGGGCAGTGCTGGGCCTGCTGAGCAGACTGCTGCCCTCATAGCTGGAGAGGCGTAAATTGTTCAGCTCACTATCAGACATGTAGTCCCGGTTCTCACCTAGGCATCTCAGGTAAGGGTAATCCCGCCCTCCCCTCTCCTTCAGCAGAGACTCCTTCCTCTGAGTAATGCCCAGCTCCAAGTACTTCAGCTTGGCATCGATCTCCTTCTCTTCCTCATCCAGCTCTGCTTGCTTCTTCCGCAGCTTCGTGGACTCATGCTCCACCAGCTTCAGGTCACGGTCGATGTCTCTGAGAAGGCTGGCTTTGGTTACCTGAGTGGCCTGCTCTCCTACCCCCTTCTGCATGAAGCTGGGCAAGTACAGCTGGGAGTGGGCTTGGCTGGCCAGGGGCAGGTGAGCTTCCTCCGGAGGGGGGCTGGGCAGTGTCCGCTTCACCTTCCGCATCAGAGTGTTTGACTGCAAAGCAGAGATCTAGAAAACAATTGAAACTGGCATTAATCCTAGACACTGGGAGCACTGCAACTCCCTCGGGATAATGGTGAGGTAAGAACTCTGTCCTGCCGTAGTGTCTTTCAGCAGAGTTTATCAAAGTGCTTAAACGTTCATTTCTTAAGCCTCGGCATATCCCCATATTATCACTGCAGTCAGTGGAGAAATGGGGAAACTGAGATACAGGGACAGGCCACGACCTGCCCAATATCACAGAGTGAGAGTGAGCACTGGAAATAGAGTCCAAGAGGCCTGACTCCTCATCCCCTGCTTCCCTCAGTGGGAAATGAACAGCTGCCCAGTGCTCATGGCTGTGTGGTGGAGTGGGCAAGGCACTTAACTACAATCCTGAAGGTTGGGGAAGCTGAGTCTCACTTGATCGCACACTAAAACTCCACATCCACGTCACCCAGCGGCAGTCAGAGGTGGTCATACGTGATGCTGGCCACATCAATGCCTTGTGCACTGTTAGCTGTGAAACTGGCACACCTTAACCAGGTGAGCCTGCGGAGCCATTGGCTCAGAGGAACTCTGGTGTTGGTCATTGCTGCCTTTTGATTAGCATGTACGTCAGCTGTAGTGCGAAGTATGTATCTGCTGCACTATCACTGTGCACATGGAAATGACCACACCAGCAATGAGAAAAAATAAGAGCCAACTTTACTGTTTTCCCTAAACTGAACCAGAACAGAAACAATCCAAACTGGTTCTGAGGTTTCAAAGAAATAAGTCAAAAATGTCTCGTAATGTAACTTAAAAACATCCTTTCCTGTGGGACTAGTGAAGCTCTGCAACAGACAACTGCCCACAGGCCTTGGGGGGAGATGTTGGGGTGGCAAACCTTTCTAGGGTCCAATAAGAAGGCCCTGGGGAAGGCTTTGGCAGTTAAACTACAATACAGAGATGTATGTTAAACCCTCCCTAGGATTGAAAGGAAGCCACTCAACACACAGCTGTGCAAATGCCCAGGATGGGAGCAGAGACACCATCTAAAAGGCACTTTTCTGTGGCTCTGAAACATCTTATGAGCTGACTTGAGAATTTTAGGTGATCTATTTTCACTGGCTGGTTGGGTGAAAAACTACACAAGATGTGGTCCTCTGGAAGGAGATCTCCCCTGAGCTTCTGACCATCAAATCTTATCTCAGCCTTTAAGAGTGATGGAATCCAAAAAGCCACAGCTTACATTGGTTGAACAACGAAGGCAAAGGCCAAGTCTTCTAGGTAGAAGCCCAGTGAGAATACCAACCACCTCTAATGTCTTCTGTGGAGATTTATGGAGGGTGGCTGAGGAGTAGGTCCCAGGGAGAAGGGATGGCATAGGATTTGGGGGATCCAGAAGGGCAGCACTGGAACCTGGGATGGGGAAAGCATTCACCTACTCCAGTTCTGTGTGGGCTTGCCCACACAAGGACACTCAGGACAGTTAATCCGAATTAACTAAAAGTGTGAATTCAAAATGGATTAATTAACAGGATTAAACTGCTGTGTGGATGCTCTTATTCAGCATTTAAGTGGACTTAATCCAATTTCGCTTAATGCACTTTGGAAGTGGGTGGGTTTCCATAGGAGGAGCAGGCAGAACTCCTTGCTGGCACAATGTCATCATTTTGACCTGAAAAGATGCCATGAGCAGAAATAAAAGTGTGGCCTGGGGAATGTGACTCTCCATGAGAATCTGCAGAGATTCTGAACCCTGATAAGGTGACAACGATCCACACAGCTCCGTGCATGACGGGAGCAAAGCCCGTTCAAAGGACTCTGTCTTTTGTGTTCCCGGACGAGCTTCCTGAGTGCTGAGATGAGATTGGATGGCCGCTAGCTGAAATCCACCCGGGAAGGGAGGCTGACAGTGCTCCCCCCATGTGTGTTGCTGGCTCTGGCCCCATTCAGCCCCACGATGAGTGTGCTGATGTCACCCCACATGATGCCATACTGTCACAGCATGGTGTTGTGTCTACTGAGGATGGGCTTGCCTGTGCTCTTACTGACATTAATGACAAACGGCATCCACTAAGACTATTGCATGGTGACATGGCATCAGCATGGAGTGTTACAAGTGCCCCCACTCAGTGTCAGGACATGGTGATCTTCTGTGACCCAGCCGCTGAGGGAAGGAGCTGGGACGAGGCAGAGAGCACTTTAACCAAAGCAATTGTGTTCATCAGGATGCTTGGTGGGCTGCTAGGAACACAAGGCAAGTGATCCCAGTACATGCCAGAGCTATAACTACCTTGCTGCTTAGTGACCTCCCAGCTGTCTTGAACAGCGGTGCCCCCTACCTTTCCCACTTCTGGAATTTGGGTTCCTCAGTTGGGCCTGGTCACCTTCAGGGAGGGTACAAGCTCATTGGTTTTTGCCAGCTTTTCTAGAGTTCCGCTATTCCTGTCTGCTGTGCATTCTGTTACAGAAACACGCACTGTGTTTAGTACATGGGCCCCGGGGCACTGCAAAAGGAACAGTTTTATAAATCCGAGTGTAAAAAAATCAGCTACAAATGACCAAATGGACTGCAATTAAGGAAAAGGGCATTTTCTATTGCAGTGTGAGGGGGCAAGAGCCGTGTCGCATGGGCAGCTGTGGGGAGCCTGGGTCCCTCCACCTGTCCTAGAGGGGGACATGGGCCAGGGGCTGCTTTTGCCCTCCCCCCCTGCACCATAGGCAGGTGGAAGGTCTGCGCAGCTCCCACAATTGGCTGGGCTCCCTGCTGCCTGGCCAGGGGGTGTGGTCTTGTGGGGAAGAGGCAGGAAAAGGGCAGGGTCTGCTCCGGCGAAAAGTGGATGGGTCCTGCCTCCCCAGCCCCTGGTTCCAGCACCACTGTGCTGCTCAGCGGAGTTTGCTCCTGGCTTGCTGCCAAAACCCATCCCCAATCCAGCAAAACCACACATGCATGCCCATGTCTCGATTCAGCTGGCCACACACCACTGGGTGGGACACAGGTAACATGAATGATCATCAACTTCTCTGCTCCTCAACACAATTCCCTTTGGCCTAGGGGAGAGTGCTCAGAGCTGGGAGCTCTAGGCTCACTTCTCCTGACTAGGATTAATCAATGTGTGCCCTTTACAGTTCTTCTTATTGACAAGGATTCACATCCCCCTGTGAGGTTCCACAAATTGGAACCAGAGCCCAAGTCTCTAAGATGGAAGATCCAGATCTCAGTCAGCCTGTCCCTCGGAAAGAAGTTGCCACATCTTTGTGCTTGGCTATGCTGTCTGTAAAATATGGCACCTCCTGCAAATGTACCACACTGTGTCAGGGTGTTATGTGCCCTCAACTAGTGGCTAGTCCACAGCCTTCTCCTGCTACCAGCTCAGGTCTGTTTGCTCCATGATAGAGGTCTGTGCTGCAAGCTTAGGGTGCCAACCCTGCTGCTAATGCATGGTAGGAGCAGTGTGACTGTTGCAAATACCAGGACTTGGTTTTGCCTTTTTACAAACAGTAGGACATTCATAGAATCATAGACTATCAGAGTTGGAAGGGACCTCAGGAGGTCATCTAGTCCAACCCCTTGCTCAAAGCAGGACCAATCCACAACTAAATCATCCCAGCCAGGGCTTTGTCAAGCCTGACCTTAAAAACCTCTAAGGGAGGAGATTCCACCACCTCCCTAGGTAACCCATTCCAGTGCTTCACCACCCTTCTAGTGAAAACGTTTTTCCTAATATTCAACCTAAACCTCCCCCACTGCAACTTGAGACCATTTCTCCTTGTTCTGTCATCTGCTACCACTGAGAACAGTCTAGATCCATCCTCTTTGGAACCCCCTTTCAGGCAGTTGAAAGCAGCTATCAAATCCCCCCTCATTCTTCTCTTCTGCAGACTAAACAATCCCAGTTCCCTCAGCCTCTCCTCATAAGTCATGTGCTCCAGACCCCTAATCATTTTTGTTGCTCTCCGCTGAACTCTTTCCAATTTTTCCACATCCTTCTTGTAGTGTAGGGCCCAAAACTGGACATAGTACTCCAGATGAGGCCTCCCGAATGTCGCATAAAGGGGAATGATCACGTCCCTCGATCTGCTGGCAATGCTCCTACTTATACAGCCCAAAATGCCGTTAACCTTCTTGGCAACAAGGGCACACTGTTGACTCATATCCAGCTTCTCGTCCACTGTAACCCTTAGGTCCTTTTCTGCAGAACTGCTGCCTAGCCCTTCGGTCCCTAGTCTGTAGCAGTGCATGGGATTCTTCCGTCCTAAGTGCAGGACTCTGCACTTGTCCTTGTTAACCTCATCAGATTTCTTTTGGCCCAATCCTCTAATTTGTCTAGGGGAACAAAGAACACCATTTAGGTTGCCAAATCAAGTATACAAAAATTAGGAAATGCCCAAATTAGGGGAGCTCATGTAATCTTAACTCAGTCCCTTGTGCATATGCATTATATGACAGTCTCTAATTACATTGTCACAAACCATTGTTTTCCTCAAGACCCCTACCTCCTTCCTTCAGTGCACAGGATGGACGATGCTTAGTGAAGGAGGGATGGCACCCACCCGTGCCTCAGTTTCCCACATGGAGGTGCACTGTGGGAATTAATCAGTTATTTTTTGCTCAGCAGTTTGCAACTCAAGACGTTTTACAACTTGGCAAGTGAGAGCCAGGTAATGAGCCCCAGCAGGCAAGACACTGTGAAGAGGCAACTGACCATTCAGAACCCACACATAGAGTTGGGTCAGCCCAGGGAGCTGAAGCAGAAGCTTGCTGGTGGAACTGCACTAGTGTCAATGGAGTCACACAAGGGTTGGGTTCATTCTACACTAGTGAATCCACAGAAAGGGTTTTTGGGGGACCACGGGGCGCAAGAGCAGGAGAGATGCTGATAAACCCCTCAACCAGAGACCTGTCAGACAGTCCAGTCTGAAATGCCTGGCAGGAGCAGATATATTCACAGGCAGTGTCAGGCTCCTGATCAGTGAGGTTTCACAGGACACCACAGGAAATCTCCCTGTCTGATCAGCTGCAATATGTGCCAAGCTCTTGA